GCTAGCCTGAGACAGCAGCTCCACGCTCTAAGTCCTAATCTGATGCCCTGCCGGCACTGCTTCCGGCCATCCTTAACCTCGGTTCAGGGTCCACTCAATGTGGACATGCTAGTTCGAATTAGCAAAATGCTAATTCGAACTAGTTTTTAGGTCTAGATGCACTAGTTCGAATTAGCTTAGTTCGAATTAACTAATTCGAATTAAGTTAGTTCGAATTAGTGCTGTAGTGTAGACATGCCCTTACTGAGTAAATATGACTTGATCAGAGTAACCCGTCTTAGTTCTCCTCCTTCCCCATCGGCTGCCACTCAACTTCGCATCTCATGTTCTAAAATATGGGCCAAGAGCAGATTTTGACCTTGGAATGTATATTCCCCGCATCAGATCCTTTTGAGCTAAAGGAGTAACTCCATTATCAGGCGCAGCAGTAGACTTTTAGCCCGCTATGCAAACCAGCCACTAGAGGGAGATAAAGAGCCACATGCAACAGGTGTATATTACAGAAATCTTCAAGGCAGAGGCTGTGTTGTTACCAGGGGCCTCTATTAGGGCTTAGAGCTACTCAAAAATACTGAAATCCCTTCCTGAAAAAGTGTGCATATTTTTTCATATACTATCACATGTGCAAGACATTTCTGTCATCTTTAGCCTTTTTAAAAAAGTATTCGTCGGCCATCCCGCCCTGCAAGCGAAACTGATTGTTTAGTCGGGAGAAAAGAATGAGGAGGGAGCTGATGCAACAGGATTCTCAATTCAATTAAGCCCTGAAATTAATACAAAGCAAAACATATTATTTTACCTCCGAGTGTGGGCCGGGCCTGAGGTGGAGGAAAAGCTCCCTCGCTGTAATTCAACGCCAGCCCGGAATAAGTTTTGGCAGAGCTCTCTTACACTTCATCATGGAGCAATTTCTATTTTAGGGACAAAGCTGTTACATTGAGGCCTGTCGTTCTGTTTACCGTGCAGACAAATGCTGATTTATTGCCCTCGACTTGCCGGCAAGTCCTTGTTTACTGTGATATCTGCTTTCCAGATAAATGGATAAATTGGATAAATGGGGGGTTGTTCTTTGCTTGAAGAAAGCCTTGTCAGTCCACATGCATTATTGCTGTGATTAGCTGGGGGAATCATATTCATTTTTCATGCTTTTCTCCTTCTATGCTTCCTATAATTCCCTCCTAAGAGCCCATCTGTTTAATGCGCTTGCAATGCTCTCTGATCAATAGTTTTCATCGCTAGGCTGCGGAGTGCAATGCTGCAGGGAGCAGGGAGAGCTGCGGCTGTGGGGCAGATATCATGACTGGAGGGGAAGAGGGGTACAGGAGTATGGGGGAGATGAGAGGAGACACTGGGGTAGCTGAAGAGCACGTGGGAAGAGGGGAAAGTCCAATAGTCGGGGCAGGGTGGGGGGCAGTGAAGGTGATGAACATTGGGTTTTGGGAAGAGGGAAAACGCCTGCCACATGAGAGCAGCTGTACAGGGAGAAGGATTGTAGGGTTGCAACTATTTATCACTAGAAAATGCACCTGGCATTGCTCGCGTCCTTAACTCAAATAAGTTGTAGTTTTCTTCATTTAAATCGTTGCTCTGGGATGGGGAGCAGGGATTCAATCTGCAGGCTGCCCTGACAGACACACGGACGGACAAACTCTCTGAAATATATAGCAGATAGCTATCCTTTTCCCCACCCTGGCCCAGTGCAGTTATAGTGGTCTCAGTCCCCATCTCTGGCCCTTGGCTGCCCCCCTGTGGTCATTCTACAGTATAACTGTCCTTGCTAGCAGACCTCTCCTTTTCCATTTCATGAGAAACAATTGAATTCCAAGCACATTCCATTGTCCTGGCAGAGTCCAATCCTGACTTTGCTTTAAGTTATGATAAGAGGAAGCTGCACATCAAACTTAGCGGTCCTAGCTCTTACCGTGTAGGAGGAATTCTGGAACAAACGGACTCACAGACAGATGGAAAAAGTTTCTAAAATAGATAGCAGACTAGGGCTATGTCTAGACTGCAAGCCTCTTTCGAAAGCATCTTTCGAAAGAGCCTCTTTCGAAAGAGAGCGTCTAGACTGCACGGAGAAATTTCGAAAAAGTGGCTTGCTTTTTCGAAAGAAAGCATCCAGTGAGTCTGGATGCTCTCTTTCGAAGAAGCCCTATTTACATTGAAGAACGCCTTCTTTCGAAAGAGGAACTTTCGAAAGAAGGCGTTCTTCCTCGTAAATTGAGGTTTACCGCCATCGAAAGAAAAGCCGCGTTCTTTCGAATTAATTTCGAAAGAACGCGGCTTGAGTCTGGACGCAGGGGAAGTTTTTTCGAAAAAAGGCTACTTTTTTCGAAAAAAACCCTGAACTGGGACTGTGGAATAATTTTATATCGTGGGTGACTCCTAGCTGTGAGCTGTACTTATCTAAGGGTTTGCAGGATCAAGTCCTTTGTTCCTAACTACTAGAGGATCAGCAAAGGTTGAAGTGCTCACAGACCACGGTTTCATTGTTCTACCCATAGCTTGGCATAAGAGTGTATCCCGGGTTATAAGGTGGAGGAGAATCTTCTAATGGTGTTTGTTTCTCCAATTCCTGCAGAGCACTGTTCATTTTGGTGGAAAGGGGGAAGGTGTTTTATTCCACTGAGAGCTGGAACCACCTTTTGAAGGCTTTCTTTAATCACCAGAGCTCTTCCTGGGAACACCGACAGCTCAATAACAGTTCCTGGATCTGTTGGCTGACAGCACAAACAGATTGTGTCTCTTGGCAGTGGTCATCAGCTCTGAAGCGAGCTTTTTGAGCTAGCTGAGAAGTTCAGAGACTGCTTCTCCCTGTGACCTCAGTCTGAACGTCTGGTCCTGGGAATTCTACCGAAAAAGCAGACCCTTCAGGACTTTAAGCTTTGCTGGAGTTATTACGGGAAAGTGTTTCCAAGAAGTCACTGTGATAAAGGACTGGTTAATGAACTAGATTTTATTTGCTAGGGGACATAAACAAAGCTCCCTCTAATCTTTTACATCCATGTGTGGAATAATTTTATATACACTGAGGCATGTGTGAACATGCACCACCAGTAGAAACAAAAAAATCTAGCTGTGATTCTGCTAAACAGCTGGGTGGCATCAGACTCATTCCTGAGTGTCCACACAAGCACCCAGCTTTAAGGGACTACGGGGTGTAAGGCTACTGGTGAAATGCACAACTTTTGAGATACAAGACAGAAACAGACCCTTTTATCATGCGAAAGAGGCAAGAATGAATCTAATGCACGAGACAGAAACAGACCGTTTTAACTTGCGAAAGAGGCAAGAATGAATCTAATGGGACTGGATGCCCAATGAGAACCCATCTCCTCTTCCATCCCGCTCTGGGGTTGCTTATATCGCAGGATTTATACAGACTTCATTAAATGCCCTTCAATCTGAGGCTCTTTGGCCAAGAACATAGTGTGAGGGAGTTTGCTTGGAATATGCTGGAGTCCTGGACTCTGGGTAAAGTCTTCCATTTCAATTAGAGATTGTGCAGAATGTTTGGCTAATTTGTTAAATGTCGGGTTTATTTGCCCACTTGAGCTCGTCAGTGTAAATATTTGTCCTCTCTTGTCACATTCATTAAATCTTTCCTGTTTGATTTGGAAATGAAATGAGGTAATTCGCACATGCGGGCGGCGATTTATATTTATTTGCGCCAGATCAAATCTGCCTCTGCAAGGGGGGAATGTTGGGTTTGGGAAGCCAGCCTGCTGCCTGGTGGATCCGAGCTGCTGAGAGCCGGGCGGTTCGGAGACCGGCTTCCTAGCAGGGTTTCTGCTGTGCTTCAGTCGACGACAATCTCGTATTTCCATTTCGTCACACCCGCATCCAGGAGCGGGGGTTTTGGGGCCAGCGCAAATGGCTAGGTCTTCCCATTTCTAAACCAAATTTAGTGAAGGCCTCTGGGGTCCCTTGAGGTAATTGTTCCCTCTCTACAACTGGAAACGTTCCAATACCTCAGTTCAGTGAACTAGGCCTGAAACCATCCGTGTTCCCTTCTTCCTTAGACTAGTCTTATTCACTTGTGTCTGGGACCTAGGCCAGCACACATCCTAGGTGCCTGAGGAATTCATCTTTTGCGCTTGTCCTCTATGCAGGGGAAAATGTCGCCTGAAAGGGCCAACCCTTAGGGGGAAAACCAGCAAGATGTGCCAGAGTGCGATTCTATTCTGAACCTCTGAGGTTTGGTTTGCACGGCAAGTCCCGGCACTGAACGCAGGCCTGAGCCTAACCCCGCAACACACGACTTGTGCTAACCCACGGCTTAGAACCACGATACCACAGGAGTGGAAGGTCTGAGCCAAGACGGGACCTAGGCTTTCATGCCTTTTGCTTTGCAGGATAGGCCTGCCCCCTGGCTTTGTGCTCTGGGAGTCCCTCCAAAACATGCCGTAATCCCTCGGGCCAACTTTCTTTAGGCAGTCAAGTTCCTCCACTCTGCACCCAAACCAAAGGGCTAGCACCTGTGCATTTTGGCAGGGCGCTAGGAAGTCTGGGAGGAAGGTGATTGGGTTCAGGCCCAATTAAAACAGCCTAGATGTGAGATCCCAAAGTTGGGACCTAGGGCGTGACAGCTCCTAAACTGGGGCAACCGATGAGTGTAGATTCCCAAGCTGTAGGTTTTCAGTCCCTCCTGTTCTCTGCCTGTGACACATAATAGTCGACTCTCCCGGGGGCTGTAATAGCAGCTTAGAACCCTACGAAAGGAAGGGACTTCGACAGGTCATCAAGTCTGCTCCTCGGCAGGACCAAGCACCGTCTAGACCATCCCTGACAGGTGTCTGTCCAGCCTGCTCTTACATATCTCCAGTGATGGATATCCTACAACCTCCTTGGGTTTCCCCGGGTGGCCCTAACCGGGCTCTTGAGTCCACGGAGGCTGCGTAATGGGCTATTGATACTTCTCACATTTTTAGCCACCCTCCGTCGTCTCTGCCTTCCCGGTCTGCTGCTGGAAGATCATCCTCAAGAGACCCTGGGGGCCCGGCAGTCAGAGAAGCCGTTTGCTATGCAGATGCTCCAGAAGTGCTTCTAGAATTAGCAACTACCCCCCCGATAGTCCTGATCTCTTTGAAATGTGCCACTTCAGCTCCCTTCGAGGGCCTGATTTGGGAAGGAAATGGGATGCGGAGCAGGTGAAACACGGAGTAATTACAAATTGCTGGAACACTTCACCTCCCGAGAGCTCTTCACATAATTTTAAATTGCTCTGTGCTAATTGTGATCAGTGCTCCATTCACTTCCAACGACCTCTTCAGACAGACAGCAAGGGTGTATTTTAGGGTCTGGTGCACATGGCTTGCTTAGAAAGTCAGGTGTTGGGCTTTTTTTAAACTGAAGTAGCCGTGGAAATACAGGAAAGTCGTTTTTCACCTTTCCAGATGTCGCCCCCCACACCTTAGAAGCATAGAGCTGGAAGAGACCTCAGGAGTCATCAAGTCCAGACCCCTGTCCAAGGCAGGACCCATCCCATCAGATCATACCTTTCACCAATATTTGAGAAGGAATGCTTTATATGTAAGATCATGAGGATACAAAAATGAGGACTATGAGGATTACAGGACACTGCCCCAAGGTATAGAGTATCATAGTTAGATTATCTGCAATTGTTCTTCCTATCTAGCTTGCTAGATTAAGGTTTTCTTCCCTACTCTGCACCATAATAGGCATTTGGTGGTAAGTATATGCTTCCTATCTCCAGGATCATGTAGACTTCTAGTAAGGAGCAAGAGGTGAAGACTTGTTGGAGATACATTCTACCTACCTCTTCAAAGCACAGCAGGGCTGAATTCGTTCCTGTTGTCAACTAGCTTTATTGACTTCCATGAAGCTGCACCAGCATTTGACCCCAGAGCACATGCCGGCAGCATAGTGGGAAAGGGAGTCCTTTAAGAGCTCCCCATTCCTGGTAGAACGTAGAGCAGGGCTGGGCAAGATGCAGCCCGGGGAACGGATCTGGCCCATGCTCGGCATCTGGCCCCTTCCTATTTATATCCTGCTCCCTGGGCCACCGAATTTCCAGGCAGTGGCTCAGGGAGCCGGATCCAATTTAAATGGCTCCCGGCTCCTAGTCACGGCATTACCCATCAGGGGCCAGAGGTGTGAGTCCTTTAAATAGCCGCAGCAACCCTGAGAGGCTGTCAGGTCACCGGATAGCGGCAGCGCCACGAGCTCTTCGCAGTGTTTTTAATTCAAAGCCTCCAGCTCCAGACAATTCTGGGGGGAAGAGGCTAGTCCCCAACCCCGCCCCTTCCACTTCCGGTCCCGTCCCTCCTGGGGGGCGGAGCCTGGCTGGTGACCATGTACCAAAATTCATTGTGTGAAAATTATTGCCTGCCCCGATGTAGAGGAAAAATACATCCCTCTCCCCAACCCCGCCCCTTCCACTTCCGGTCCCGTCCCTCCTGGGGGGCGGAACCTGGCTGGTGACCATGTACCAAAATTCATTGTGTGAAAATTATTGCCTGCCCCGACGTAGAGGAAAAATACATCCCTCTCCCCAAACACACCCACTCCTGACTAACTTCAAGGCCGGCTCTTTGACAGTCGCGTTTCCTATATTCCATTGTTCCATCTACCAACAATTGCTTCCCGGCGTCTCGCCTGCGTTTCCCAACCTTCATGTTAGATCACTGTCCTTGTCTTATCCATCTGAAATTGTATGAATTATTCATCGGACAGGAGTTGAGTCACGGCGTGCGTTTAGGAAAGTTGTCCTTTAGACAGACCATACAAAACATCCTGCCCTAGGGAGACCGGACTCTCGCTAGTGTAGAGCCGGGTGTATATAGTGCCGCATTTTCTCTTTGTCTTGGCTTCAGATGCATACTGAGAACTTCTTTCACGATGCCTCCCTCGCTCGTTCGGGGAGATGTTAAGTCTGAAGTGTCCCTGCAATCAGCCTTCCAGGGTCCTCGCGTTTGACATCCAAAAGCTGGCAGCACTTACGGTCACCGGGAGATGGTTGGCACATTGTAGAGCAGATGGAGCAGGGATCTAATCAGCGATGGAGCAGCTAGACTGCTCATCATCACCCTTCAAATTCCAAACAAAATCAAGCGGCTTTTCAGGTGTCTCTCTTCCTCTTTGCTCAGACTGGGGATGAGAAACTGAGCCTACTGATTGTGAGTGCCATGCACGGCCAGAGGGAGTTATAACATTCAAAGCAGGACCCTACGCACCCAGGTAACAGTCTGAGGACGTGACAGGAAAACCCACCCAGGGAAAAGATGACTTAGCTTGGAATGCCAATGTTAAGAATTAGCCGTGAGTCCGCTGCAGGCAGGACAGAGTTGGACTGACTTTCCTGCTTACCTTTCCAGCTGGGAAGTGTTTTGCTGGAACAGAACAGAAGCAAAGGGCAGGGGGAGTGATGTTCGGGAAGGGAGCTGGTTTTCCTATGGGGAGATACTGACTGAGACAAAAGGGAAGCAGACACATACAAGCTACAACTACCTGCTCCTGCAGAGCAGGTTTTCCTACGGGGAGATACTGAGACAAAAGGGAAGCAGACACATACAAGCTACAACTACCTGCTCCTGCAGGTGCCTGGTAAAGACAAAGCCTCTCATGTCAAGATCAAGGGGAATTCTGTGGAGGAATTTTACATTGGAAATCCTGGCTCGTAGCCCATCATT